TAAAGGTTTTTCGACTTTATTAATAGACAAATCTAAGAAATTTAGGGTATTGTTGGATTCAATTTCAAGAGTAAAGTTATTAAATATTATCTGAACCTACAGCGTTGCTTTTTATTTTGTAAAGATGTTTTCTCACTTGAGATGATGTAACGGGGCAAAAATTGAAAAGTGTTCTTACTATACTGGTTCTGATATCGATCAAGAAGATTAAGTTGGGGGTGAGTTTTTTGTGTGTGAGTAATGTTGGCGAAGTGAGAATTTATACTATGTCTATCCTTTATATTATCAGGAAAAGAGGCAGTTTGATTTCTCAAGATATTAAGAGATCCAAGAGGATTCCAAGTAGATTTAGAATTTTTTGCAGCAGTACAAAGTCTAAGTATGTTCTCATTTCTGCGTTCTTTGTACTAATTCCAGTGCACAATGGATTGAGTAGATTTAAATTTTTTGTAAGCTTTATCTCTAAGCTTCTTCATTTCTTTGATGTTGTATGTAAGCCAAGGCGAAGGAGATTTGCTTACTCTTTTGGTTACAATTGGGGCATGAAAATCAAACAATTTAATTATGGTCATATTTAAAAAGTTTACCATTTCTTTAACATTTTCCATGGCATATATGTTGTGAAAAATCTCTATAGGTTACATATTTTAGCATACAGTCTTTTTTTAAAGAATCGATAATGCATGAAATTGAGAAATGATCTGAAATGCCGTGAATATCATAGACATGAATGTTAGAAATATGATGTGGTTCACTCACAATTAAAAGATCAAGAAGAGTAGAGCATGTTTTGGAGATATAAGGCCTATCAATAAGTTGCTTTAAATTAAACGACTCAAGAAATTCATTAAGTAGTGTAAAAGGTCTATTTACGCATAAACAGTCAATATTAAGATCACCAGCAAGTATAAACAAATCACTAGTAGGAAGAAGATTTGATACGGAATCTTCTAGTTCATGTAGATACTAGCTTTTGGTGGTCGACATACAATACCAAAAATGTAAGTCTTATTGTCACAAATCACAGATATCCAAAATTGTTCTAAAAAATGTTTGGAAATAATATTTTGTGTAGTGATGCCGCGAGACAAGACGAGACGAGAGAGTGGCCTCTCGAGGGCGAGAGAAAAAACTGTTCTCGCGAAGAGAAGGCTCTTCTCTCGCTCGAGAGAGCCTTTCTCTCGTCTCGTCTCGTCTCGTCTCGTCTCGTCTCGTCTCGTCTCGTCTCGTCTCGTCTCGTCTCGTCTCGTCTCGTCTCGTCTCGTCTCGTCTCGTCTCGTCTCGTCTCGTCTCGTCTCGTCTCGTCTCGTCCCGTCTCGTCTCGTCTCGTCTCGTCTCGTCTCGTCTCGTCTCGTCTCGTCTCGTCTCGTCTCGTCTCGTCTCGTCTCGTCTCGTCTCGTCTCGTCTCGTCTCGTCTCGTCTCGTCTCGTCTCGTCTCGTCTCGTCTCGTCTCGTCTCGTCTCGTCTCGTCTCGTCTCGTCTCGTCTCGTCTCGTCTCGTTTCTCTCGTAATAAAACAATATCAAATATAAATTTGAAAAAGACGAAACATGAAAAAAACGTTAAAATTTGTAAGACAAAACAAAGAATGTTTCAAGTAATTTGCGCATTAGTACCCATACTTGGCAATAAGAAACACTTATGTCTCTCTGTCTCTCCGTTTGACACAGTCGTTTTACAATTGAAATTTGAAGTAATAAGTGGTCCAGATTAGGCGTTAACTAATAACGAAAATACTTTGTATTGTACGTCAGTTGCGGAAGGAGGGAAGAGGTTAAATTGGAAGTTACATTTTTTCTAATGCAATCCTGCGATGTCAAATGAAAGCATTTTGTAGTATGTTTTCAAAATGCAAGAAGACAGAGACATAAAACAAAAACAATGTAAAATTAGAGAAACATTATGATATTTTTGTTATAATAAGATGCACTTTACTTGAGACGTAAAATAGAGGGCGTTTAAATTTTCTAAAAGAAAGTAAAGTCATGTAATACCTCATTTAAAAAATATTTTGATTATATTTACGTCCAAGAACACAGTTTTATTTCTTTTTTGTTTTTACAAAAATTACATTCTTGATAATCCTCGTGTGCCGCAATAATCCTAGAAATGTTAGATAATGTTAAAAAAAAAATTTTTTAATAAGCTTTTTTTGCCAAGACGTTATAAAAAATATAATACGTCAAGTGGTTTTTAAATCACCTTTGATATTCTTAATTTATTTATTTTAGTAAATACAAGAAACGTTTCTTTAGTAATAAACAATAATTGGTAATACGAGAGTTATCAAGAATGTAACTTATTAGTAAAGGGCCAGAACATGTATGTATAAGAACAAAGTACCAGCTACAAAAAATTGCCATTTGTGTAGTGTTAAATCCCTCTAACAGTAAAAAATTACTTAAATTTATAAAACATACTGACATTTACTTTGCACTAGCCAAAATGTTAATTATCCATTATATACTATTTTAAAAAACAGCATTTATAAGGTATTATACCTCCGGTAATGTAATTTCTGTAAAAACATAAAAACCTAAATCTGTTTACATGAACGTAAAAATATAGAAAATATATTTCAAATGAGGTATCACATGACCCTACTTTCCATTAGAAAATGTAAAGCTAGTAACTTTACATGTCTCAAGTAAAGTGCATCTCGTTATAACAAAAATATAATATCTCTTGAGTTTTATTTCGTTTTTGTTTTATCATTATCTTTTTTCATTTAGAAGTTAAAATAGAGGAGGGTACAATTTTCGTCTTCACTGTATATAATACATTCGTTTGTATTATCTTTTCTTTGACATTTTTTCGAAAAAACGCTTAAACATTTTCAACTTATCTTCAAAAGTAACCTCAGAAAAGCAGAATGGATTAAATATAAGAAATGATTGTATAAATTTTAAATAAATGAAATGGGAAATATTTTTTCTTATAAATCACTATAAAAAACACAAGTGTCCTTTGTTACCATTTAATATATCGCACACTCAGTAATAAAGTGGCATAACTCAAAATTTGCATGTTTAAACTTTTAATCGTAAAACAGCACAAAATGGCGCCCTCCATATGTGGAGCTTGTTAAATGCCGGTGCTACTCTAGCTCAAGATGTACTGTGTTGGAGTAACACCGTCATTTTAAAAGTTGTATATAAGGAGGGCGCCATTTTGGACCGTTTTACGACTAAAAGTGTAAACATTCAAATTTGAGTAATGCCACTTTATCAATGAGTATGCGATATATAGAATAGGTGTGTTATAGTTAAGTTTTTGACTATCTCGAAATCTAATATGGTAAAATTTTAAGTTACGATAAGCAATTGAAAAATTTCAAATAAGCAAAGAGAAAATTGTTCGAGAGAGCCCTAGAGAGCTCGAGTGAAACGAGAAATTCTCGTCGAGAGATGACACTCTCTCGTCTCCTCTCGAATCTGTTTTCGAGAGAAAATGTCTCTCTCGTCTCGTTCGAGACGAGACGAGACAAGACGAGACGAGACGAGAGACGAGAATCTCTCGTCTCGCGGCATCACTAATTTTGTGATTAATTTTTTTGTTTATGTAGAATGCTAAACCACCGCCCCTGTCATCTCGGTCAGCATGAATAAGTCTGTAAGAGTTTATATCCACAATCCTCGTTCCAATCTCATGTGACAACCAAGTTTCGCTTAAACCAAAAATATCTATATTTCTGCTAGTAATAAATTCATTAAGTATGCTGAAGCCTGTGAAAATAGACCGTACATTCAAATGATAAAAAGAAACATTTTTATTCATTATTTAATTTAATTATTTAAAATTAATTCTGATGCCTTGGTAGGATTCCCCACTCGACCATTCACTGTTGGGTACTAATTAACAGTGCTGTTCCTAAAGTGGCGCTGGGAAACAGTAACAAAGCCTACACAGAACACGAGGCTAATAACCGTAGCCGTTGATGCCGATGACACAAAAAAAATAGTAATTTAAACAAATAATACTTAAGTGATACTTGAGGAGTGTTTAAGTCTAAAAAAAGAAAAAACAAATATTGTAAAAAAAAAGAAGATCCAAAAGAAATACTACTAATTTTAGGACATAAGAATAACACAAACTATTTTCTTTGGAGATGTCGCTTATCTTTGTTTCGTAGACGATCAGTTATTTTATCCAGATCATGTGGGTTACTACTTGGTCCAAAGGAACTGCTTGATTGTGTTAAACTTTCGGAAGTACGAGGTCCAGAGATAATGGATAAATTTACTAAAATGTCGAGATTGGTATTTGACTCTTCTAATGTGTATTTTTTGTTATTTACACATAAGCGATTATGTTTTATAATTATTTTTAAACCGTTTTTCTTTCCAGTATTTAGATGTTTTCTTAACGTAACAGTTGGGCCTGTGGATTTAGGTCGTCGGCAACGAAAATGTGGGAGTCTTTAAGTTTGCTAGGATTTTTTAATACCTGACTTTTCTTTAGGTTAGACAAGAAATCGATTTTTAATATCTTCTTATTATTTTTTGAAGTAAACAGGTTTATAAAAAGTCCCAACTTAATTTCAAGTTTAGTTGAGAGAAATGTGAGCGCGTCTACGCAATTGAGTTGATTCTCCAATCCTAAAACCACAATACTCTTATTACGTAGTTTACGATCCAACTCAAACATCTTAGCTTTTAGGGCAATATTTTCAGTTAGCGTTGTCTGTGTTAGGTCCACTTTTGCATTAAGATTAAGTAAAAGGACGTATAAATCGTCGAGATAACAATTTTATTAGAAGCCATTATTATTTTTGTTTGTTTAAAATTTTTAAAATTTGTTTCCAACGCATCGATTCAATTGACTGATCAGTTTGGATACCAGAGCTGGGCTAGCCTGATGTATTATTGTAATCTGTTGGATGTATTTTCAACAGTAACCATCTTCAATTTTGTTTATTAGAACATTTCCAGAGTAAAGATACCAATAGCCCCTCGTAAAATTCCTCATTTATAAAACTAATAATTTCCTATTTATTTTCAGTCGCTGTCCGACTTCTTCTAAAGGCAATGAACAAACCCGATCCGGGTCAAAAAAAGTCTAAATATCCGAACGCAGAGAGCCGAATCAAGTACAAAACAGACATAATTGTCAGACCTAAGCTCAAAGAACTTTTCACGCCACTCTACAACACCACACCAGTCGAAAAATACAGCTGGAGGCCGTCCAGCGATAAGAAATCAGAACCCAACTATTATTTTAAAATTGCCGAACACCACAAGAACCAAATCTCGTTCGGGAAGAACAAAAGCGAAGCAGACTGGAAGAATTCGGACGAAAGTCAGAACCATTATCATCAGAGTTCATCTAAAAGTCAGTTCGAGTATATCAATAATAACCTATGCATCAAGTCTTGCATTGGCAACCGGGAGGTGTTGAGGTTTCAGATGAAGAAAGTGAGTTTCAGGAATTATACGCCGAAGATATTGAATCAGGAGATTAATATGGGTATGTGGATATGATACTATGGAAGAAGATAGAAGAAATAGAGTTAAGTTACCGATTCAGTGCCAAATATAGTCATTAATTAGTATAGAAGACTCTTGTAAAATAGGTGAGTACCAATATTTGTATTGTATTGTAATTACTGCTAGGTCTCCAGATCAGATAAGATTAGAACTAAATGGAGTTGTCTTTGTCCACCGCGACCTTTTGGATCTATTGTGGGATTCCGTAATTTAGAGTATGTCGTCTCCTACTAACTTAGATCTCCATTACCAATATGATATTAAGGAATAGGGTGACACTATCACTAGCCTTAGGATCCTAAAGTCCTGAAGGAACTTCATTCCCCTATTACGAGTTTTTTCTAATTTTCTTCTAAAAATTATTACTAGTTTATACTTAAATTTTTGCCTACAAATATCACTAAAAATAAATTAAATAATACAAATTCTGACTAAATTGACGAACAAATTGAAACAAACCTACCCTTAAAAGAGGGCGGTGGGAGGACAGGTAAAAGTTTCAATAATTGAACTTTAACAGATTACACAACGCAAAATCTGTTTTTCAAAAAGGATTTCAAAATATATACATTTCTTAAGAAACTCGTCATTTAAAGTAGGTATAATTATTATCGCAGTTCAAATAATGTCATTAAAGACAATTAAATGGATAATAAAGCACCCTACATTTAAAAAAGTATATATTTATTCATTAAATCAATAAATCTTAGTAAACTTAAAACATAATGATTGCAATTTATATAAAACATTATAGATTTAGATAAAGATATTGAATAAAATATACTTGACTCTCACAGGCGAGTTTATGGCGAAGCAGGTCAACTCGGCGATGTAAAGTCGGCGACAGTCAACTCGGCAATGCCGAGTCGGCGATGATCATCTCGGCGATGGTAAACTCGGCGACGATCAACTCGGCGAAAAGGAATACAATAATATATTATTCAATTATTTATTATAATACAAAATAAGATACAACCTATAAAAAAAATTTGATTGGAGAATTTGATTAATAAAATAAAAATATATAAGAGATTTTAAATAAGAAACTGGAAAAAGTTATTATTACTAAATATTACTAAAGTAAATCAACATATACAGGAAAAAATATATTAAATATTAAAACTAAAAATCTGAAAAAGAAACTTCTTGATTAAGAAATTAAAATTTAATGGCCAGAGTTGTTTGGAACACACAAAATTAAGGTGGCAATAAAATCAATTAAGGGTCTTAACTACAATTAGGGTTTTTAATACCTAGTATTAGAAAGCAAATAAATATTAAGGGCTTAAGATTTTTCAAAGCAAAATAAAAATAAGATTACCTTATAATTGCCTGCTTAAGGGCTTAAGATTTTTCAAAATAAAATAAAAATAAGATTACCTGATAATTACCTGCTTACTTGTACCTACATCCTATAAAAGACTGGTGATATTCACTTTCCTTAATATTCCGAATTCATCTCAGAAGTAAAGACATTGTGTGTAATTTTGTTTGTCTGTGTGAGTTTTTTATTTACTGAGACTCAAGATGGAAAATAAAGTTCTTAGCCAAAGGTGTCACGAAAAGTACTACTGGGATGGCTACCTATACACGAAGGATAAAACGAACAAGGACAACACCATTCAATTCTGGCGCTGCGAAAACAAGCATGAAAGATGCAAAGGAAGAATATGGACCAATATTATGGATGGTTCTTTCAAATGTATACGAAATGAACACGCATGTAGTACGGTAGGAAATGCAGCAAATGTTGTTCTGCAAAAAATGAATACCACTGTAAAGCACCTGGCCGCGACAACGATGGAGAATCCTGCCCAAATCAGAGGTCGAGTTTTGGAGAATGTACCAGCTGCGGTTAAAGGAATGCTTCCAAGTTCCAGTGTTATGCGGAGAAACATTCAAAGAGTAAGAGTAACCATGTGCAAAGCACCGCCAATCCAGAAACTCTTAGTGAAATTATCATCCCAGAAGTGTACTCGCAATATTATTACAGCCCTACTCAATTTGAGAATTTTTTGCTGGCAGATTCCGGAAGAGATCAAGTGGATCCACATCGAATTCTAATATTTGGTAGAGAATACCATGCAACATGGAGTGCAAGCATGAAAGAATTATTTGTTGACGGCACATTCTTATTGTGTCCTCCACTTTTTGCTCAAATATTTGTTGTTCTGGCAAGAAAAGATACGCATGAAGAGAAGGGTCCAGTTTTTCCTGTACTATATTGCTTGCTGCCCAATAAAAGTGCAGAAACATATCTCAATGTGTTTAACATGATAAAAGTTCTTTGGCCGCAATTAAATCCGGAAAGCATCAGTGTCGACTTTGAGTTGGCAATTCACCAGGCCGTAAGCCGAAATTAGAGGATGCTTATTCCAGTTGGTCAAAAATCTTCGAAAACATTTATCTTCTTGCAATATCCTAGGAATGTACAATACTGATCCCGAATTTGCACTACAAGAAAAAATGGTAACATCATTGGCATTTGTCCCAGAAGAGGATGTGATTGAGGCCATTGCCGAATTGGAAAATGAGTTGCCAGAAATATTAGAACCAATTTTAGAATGGTTTACCAGCAATTATATCGGTCGACTTAGGAATAATGGAACCAGAGTGCCAGCAACTTTTCCATCAGCAGTTTGGTCCGTTTATTTTCGAACATTGAATGGACGAGATAGGACAAATAATTTTGCAGAAGCATGTCATCGCAAGTTGCAACTGGCTTTTGGTTCTGGCATTGCTCATCCTTCGTTATGGACATTCATAGATAATTTAAAAAAGGTACAGTCTTCGTACGATGCAGACTATGAACGAGCAATTGCCGGGCGCAATGGCGCATCAAAAAGGAAACGTTATGAGGAAGCCGACGAGAGGATTTTAAATAAAGTGGCCAATTATAACAGGCAAAATTTGATCGAGTATCTCAGAGGGATATCACATAATTACAACATGAATTAGTTTTTTTTATATTATATTGTATTATAATAAATATATGTATTATAAATAATTGTAATGTGCATAATAAATAACAATATTCTACAATCAACCTTTTTTTATTTCAGTTTTTATTTTTTAATTCCGTTTCAGCATATAATATGTTACTTAAATTTTTTTATTTCATAACCTAATATTTTAATATATTATATCTTATTTTTATTTTGCATTGAAAAATCTTAAGCTCTAAATTTTCCCTTAATATTTTAATTTGCTTTCTAATAATATGTATTAGAAACCCTAATTGTAGTTAAAACCCTTAATTGATTTTATTGCCACTTTTAAAATCTCTTATATATTTTTATTTTATTAATCAAGTTCTCTAATCAATTTTTTTTATAGATTGTATATTATATTGTATTATAATAAATAATTGCATATTATATTATTGTATTCCTTTTCGCCGAGTTGATCGTCGCCGAGTTTACCATCGTCGAGTTGGCCATCGCCGACTTGGCATCGCCGAGTTGACCGTCGCCGGCTTTGCATCGCCGAGTTGTCGCGTACCGAGTTTATGGGTCGGATTATAGGTCAGCAGTTTGCATAAAGGCGAATTTAATGGTGTCATTAAGATCTCCTACCTGTTTCCAGGCAAGTTTAATGCCGCCCAAAATAAAATCTTACTTAAAAGATTACATGTTCTCAAAATTCAAAGGGAATATAATACCAATTAAAATTAAATTATGTAAAATAAAGCAAACTTATTTCGAAAAATTGTCTATTCGAAAAATCATATATTTGAAAAATTGCCGGTTCGAAAAATTGTCTTTCGAATAATTATCTTTCAGAAAACTATCCAAATACTCTTTTGGATCGTTCTGGAATAAATATAAACTTATTTTCTACACCGGAACTTATGTCTCTTTAAGCAATGACGATATTGACTGTGTAGACACTCCCTGTGTATACATAAATATTATAAGTTACAAATATTTAAAACTATGCCACTTTCAAATTGGAAAATATCTATTAGAGTCATCAAATTAATTAAATCAGACGATCATGATCAATAATTAATTATTGCCCATTCATTTTTATCGAAAAAAAAAAGTGTTGGAATTAAATAAAATTAGATACCAAACGTAATTATTAAGTCGATTTAATTAAAACGTTTGGATGAGTGATTTTTTATAACCAAGAGTTATTTACTAGTTCAGTGCCAAAGTATTTATTGATTAGGAAATGTCTGACATAAATTTTAACGATGACAGAATTGCATCAGAAATTAATAATTAACCTAACGCATTAGAATAAGAAATAGATATATTATACATGTATATGTAAGTGCATAGAAAATTGTATTTAATTGTTCGATTTTTAGAAAGTTTACATAAATTATTTGATGAAACTCTCAGTGATCACATAATTATGTAATGCGTGAGAAGACCTGGTGTTTTTGAACGCACAAAGCTATGTAAGCCTATATGTCAAAATTGATTACTTAGTTAACTAACTATACCTTTTTGTGTACCTATAAAATGCCTGTATGTCAATTTGATAACATTCATTATTTTAATTAATATTTGAACGCCAATGTTATATAAAGAATGTAGAATGAGTTGCATAGATGGAGGTAAAACTTACTTGATGCCAAACAGGCAAGTGATGTTCCAAAATCATTTATTTATAAGAATGTTTAAAGCCAGCAGAATTGTTTCATAAATTTTCAGTAATTGTAATTTATGTAGGTTTCCTCTATGATTATGATTATAATACAACGAGTGTTATCTGGACTATCGATAATAGCATAAGCTAATGCGCCAAAAATTAATTTAACAAGACGCCGAGTTTATTAATTTTTGTGATTATTCTTAGAAGCGACATCAGAAGTATTATTTAATAGATATTATTACGTTTTAATAAAATATGACAGCTCAATAATTTAAAAAATGACAAAATATGACAAGCTTGCCTACTAGGTTATTGTATTATTATCGATTATTAATCAACTAAAGTCTATTCAGATTTCATTTACGCCGCGTCAAAACAATCTCTCTCATCCAGCAACAGCTCACGTGACATTTTTTTGCGCTTCTATTGGTTAATCGGTCGTTAGTCATTTAGATGACGCGCAAATATTTTTTGTCAGAGTCGAATTCAGTTCAATTTGGATAATTATAAACGGCGTTTTGGTAGCATTCACCGTGTTGGTTAGTTTGGACATTTTGTATGTTTGATTGATTATAATTCATTATATTATAGTTTAGATATACATATATTGTGTTTTGTTTTTGTGGTTGTTAGTTTGAACATTTTTTACTCTATTTTATGGACATTTAATTGACTTTATTTTGTAACTGCTGCGTGACACTATGTCCTCCACAGATACAGCAGATAAAGTCCAGAAAAATGTTTTTACTCCTTCTAAAAAGCGACCGAAAAAGGGACATTTGGTCATCCGTACTAAAGAAATGGTTCTTAATATTTATGAGTATTAAATTTTATAGAACCCTGATATGTTGCTGATAATGTTATGAAGGAGTATAGGCAGATTCATAAATTTTCTGAACCAAAAAGAAAGCTACTATATAAACAAATTAGTGGCTCTGTGGATGATTTTGATAAAAATGCAATAAGGCGCAAAGTACATCAATTCTTCTTTAGAAATTAACTTCCAACAATCGATAAGGTTTTATAAGAAGTCAACGATGATCCATATTTGTCTAATTTTAAGCGAACTACATTTTACAAGCTTTTCAAAACCCTTAATTTTAAATTTAAAACTCGAGGAAAAAATAGTTTGCTTTTAGACAAAAATTAAATTGTTTCGTCCTACGCCACAAAAAATAAAACGGTACAGAGAAGAAAAGCAAAAAATATATTATCTTGATGAGACTTGGATTAACGCAGGCCACACCAAATCCAAAGTATGTATCGATATTTTATCATCCAGACAAGCCTTTTTGGATAAACTTTTAACTAGTTTTAAAAACTCATCAGGTATGTGCGTAAAACAGCTCATTATATGCCATATTGGAAGTGAAGAAGGCTTTGTCTCTAATGCATTTTATGTATTTGAGTTGAAAAATCCGGTGACTACCATGAAGAAATGTGTGGAGAATCGTTCAAAGAGTGGTTTTCAAACACCCTACCAAAATTAGAAGATAACTGCATTATTATTCGAGAAAGCTGGAAAAAATATCTACGACGTCTAAAAAAGATGATATTTAAAAATGGCTATAAGGGAAAAAAATTGAATTCGACTACCAAATGCTTAAGATCCAACTTCTAAAACTTGGTAAGCAACATAAACATTATGATAGGTATGTAATAGATGAAATGGCTAAGCAGCAAAACAACATAATACTTCACCTGTCTCCGTATCATTGTGAACTTAACTCTATTGAATTAATCTAGGTTGACGTTAAACAATACGTAGCAGATAAAAACTCAACATTTAAATATGGAGACATTAAAATTCTTTTTGAAGAAGTAATATTAATAATTTCTCCAGAAAAATGGAAAAAGTGTATCGACCATGTTCGCCAAAAAGTTGAAGTAAAAATGTGGGAGTTGAATAATATTATAGAGGTTCAGGTAGAACCACTTGTAATTTTGATTAATGAAGATAGCCCTTCAAGTCTAACTAATTTATCCAATTCAGAATAGTGCTAAGTCAAGTAAGGAAGATTGCTCTGTATCACAGTAGACATATGTAATGAACTAAATATAATGCAAACATCTCTTTTAAAGTCAAATACATTTATTAATTTGTATTGCAGGTTAACGCAGTTTATGTCGCTCACCTATCTTCGTCCAGAAATGTCACTAAAGTATGGGAGACCGTGTATGGCATTTATTTTATAGTGTTAGTTTACAAAATATGTTTTTATCGTAATAAAAAAATAATTTCTTAATTACACTCTTTTATTTTACATTTTTGCAAGACGGAAAAGTAAAATACGGCCCTGCTCAATTTTAGCGTCCACCTGCTTCTGTTTCCATCAGGCGTAAATTAAATTTGAATAGACTTTAAAAGCATATTAAATTATTACAGACTAAATGAAATATTTTTTGTTTTAGGTATTTAAGTATTTAATTCTTTTCCAAAATGGCGATGTTATTAGCGATAGGCCAAGTGGCAAATTTGGCAATTGGACTGACTTCAAATCCGCTGGCGATTCTGGGACTAGTACCTGTTTTTGCAGCGGGATTGGCGTTTATGAGGTACATTTCGATGGATCCCGAGGTACATCCCAGGAACACATTAAACGTAAGTTATCTATTCAAGGTAAATATTATAGACCTCATATTATTTTAATAATAATAATAATAATAATAAAAATAATAATAATAATAATAATAACTATACTGAAGTATAGTACAAATTACAAATATAAATCATATATCTCATCTACAGTAATATAAATTTAATCAATAGGGTTATCAAAATTATAGGAGTTCCGTTGCTAGCCTTTAAATTATTAATAATTTAATTTAGGTACATAGATTATTACTACATTAGTAAATGTAGAATAATAATATAAATATATGTATATCTAAGGAGTTAGATATCCATATCCCTTTATTAATGTATTATTGTAATCTGTTTTTTAAACTTAAGTGATTAAAAATTTTGTAATGTTACTTGTAATTAATATTTTTAAATTTTCTGACGTGCTATAAATATGTTGTATGTATAAAACATTGAATAAATATATCTATCTATCAACATGACTTAAATATGAATTTTTTCTTTCATTGGCACGAACTTATCGACCAACCATGGTAGTATAGGTTTCAAAAAATTTCCCTGCACTAGATAATACATTTCTTAATATTTTTTATTCTTTATACTCTTTTGAAATACATAACACTGTATTTATTTTATTTTTGTAATATAAACATTAACCGAATTTTTCCTCGTCCTCATTTAATGTTATTTTCGGAATTTTTCTTACGCAAAGTGAAAACACAGTGAAGGTAATAATAAGAAGAGAATCAATAGACGATTGAGTAACAAATTAAAATTCAATTAGATATTTGTTCAAACGAAAGTAAAAATGAAATAAAAAGCGCCTATCGCCAAAAGTGGTGATTCATTTAAGGCTGAGTACAAATGAACAAAAACTTCTTATTACTTTCTCGTAATGCACATATCATTCGCCAATAACATTGTGGCAAAATTTTAGGAGTTTCAAAAATACGGTACTCGTATTTCATTCTGTTGTGCTCTTAGATATTATTTCAAAAATTTTTTGTAATAAAATAATCAGTTAACATTTTTTTCATCATCGTGGCCAAGTGAATAATAAATAAATGGATTATTGCTTGGTAAAATCCTTGTCGTTTCTACGGTTGTAAATAGTCACATCCATGGGCGAAGTTATGTCATCAGATCTGGGGGGGCTAAAGCCCTAGCCCTAGTCATATAATATATAATAGTTCTAGAGGTATACCTACTGAAGTTAAGTAAAAAAATTCTGGCGAATCTATGAAAATGGATAAAATATCATATATCGATTCTAAACAAAGTTTTGCAAAATTTCAATATTGTGAATTTGTAGATATCCATTTATGGTAAAAAACTAAATTTTACGACTTGCACTTGGAAAATAATGAATACTTCAGTTTTGATTTTGACATTAACACCATATAGATTGCAATTTGCTGGGGACTTTTTCGCAGATTTCATTTTTAACATAAACACTATCACATACTATAAGAAATAAACAAATTTAAAGCTAAAAAGTAAGAAAAACTCGAATTGTAATTGATACAAATTAAAATGTAAACAATGAACTCGTTGCCAAATGATGAATTGATTTTAAAACAAAATTAATAAATGAACTGAAATTAAAAAAAAAAATTAATATAATAAATCGGTTTTATAAAAAAGTCCTTAAATGAATATAGAGTATGATTACATATTACTATACACAAATTTTGATTCTTAAATAAAAGGTCTTATCCACTTCTTCAAGAGCTAAAATCCGACGACGTAGCGAAATTTAGCTACTTCTGGCAACACTGAACGATATCCTACTTATAGGGACCTTCTACAAATTTCCTCCAGAGGGCGTATCACTTAACTTGAATCGCGAATAAAGATCCTTCCAATTATATCTTCTCAAGGAAGTGTAGGATTTGGAGTGGCTTCAAGTTAGGTAAATCTCCCTCTTCTATTTGATATGCTCCTAGGTATAGTGCCCTTGGATTCTGAAGTGCTACACATTTAGTAAGAATGTGAATGAAGATTTTTTCCTTCTCCTCACAAAATCTGCACTACTCTCAGTTTACTAAGGTGTCATTTTAGTTGGCAATGTCCAGTAAGGATCCCTGTTACAAGTGTTCTCACTACTAGAAACATGTATATTACGATAACAGCTTAAAATACAATCTGGCTAATGTGGAACACCCCGAAAGCCTTGCCAGACTCGTCTAATGACCGTCAGGCGCGCTAAATTCGGCACGTTCGATTACTATTCCTCTCCTCGTTTAACTACCTGGCTTGTCAGGTCCTACCGAAATACGATTTTATAACCGAAACAGAAACCAAATTTCGGCTCCTTTCTTAGTTTCGGCCGAAACAGAAACAAGAACTATCTTTTAAGGCAATCTCTTATTGAAATTTGCAATATCTCATTGTAATCCTTGTTTTAGACTAATTAACTCGTATTATAAATTTTAGCTACATTTACTTTTTACCTGTTTATTTATGTGATCAAAAGAAGCCATTAATAAATTTATTGACATGTTCACTTGAAACAAAGCAGAGAAGTTTGTGTGTACGTGCACTGTGTAGGAATGGCACCTGGCACAGTCGCCATTGTGCCGGACACAACATTGTGATACGAAAACTTTTAAAAGTAGTTTCGCTCTCGGCTGCAGTTTCGGCCAGTTTTCCGCCGAAACCGAAACTGTAATCGAAAATATTATTTAAAGCCAAAATTGGCCGAAACCGTAACCGACACTACTTGTGAGTCTGGCAGGCCTCCGTAATTGTAATTGTCAGCCAGACGTGTATTTTCACTTACGAATATTTTGAAATTTATCCTAAGTAGATGGATAATGTTCTTAAGATATGCGTGAGTGTGCAAAAATTTACTGATAATAATTTAGGCACGTTTTTGGTATTGGGTAAGAAAGTTTTACACCAAAATATCCAAATTTCAAAACTTGACAGACATGCATTAAAACGACTAAAATCAAATTTTTAAAGGTAGCCATACCACAGAATATAAAACATATGTTTTATATGCTGTGGCCATACCATGACCATTTGTCATATTTGAAGTCGTTTAGTTGACGAGAAAAACCTAATTATTATTTTACATAAAATAATTGTAGTGTATTTCTACCTAGTTATAATTGGTATTAAATAAAATATTAACCACTGAAATGGCAAATTTTTTATATGCATGAAAGAGCTGCTCAACTGTCAAAAAGTTTTCAGTATAATTTCGTTAAGGGTACCCACCAAAAGAAAAATTTCCGGAAATTTTTCTGGTTGTCATGAAAGTGTTTTGAAATAACAGCAGTTGATTGGCTATAAAATGGAGGTGTAAAATTATAATTTAATCTATCACGTGACAAATTTTCAAACCCGGGAAAATAAAAGCAAAAATATTATATTTTTTCCATTTAGAAGATATTACCAGACTCATTAGCCAATTTCGTAAATCAGCCAGACTTATTATTATAAACAGTTCATGATTGTATCAATTTATATGCTCAATTTTCTGCCACACTCACTTTCCACTATCTGAGATAATCCAAACTGCTATTTTTATAAGCTTTATGTTCTAGTTTAGTAAATGTAAAATAGTTATGACTGGGAAAATAAGTGTCAGACTCAAAAATTTTGTTTTTTGTCACTAAGAGAACAGTTTATTTTTCGTATACACCGACTGGAAAAATGAATACGAAAAAAATTCACTGCCTCCTGAACTAAATATAAAATTGCAGAATAAATCAAATGGCACGGTTATTTTTATTTTTTAATTTCTGTTCTGAAATCTGAAATGTTTGGGTGGATGTGCGATAAATGTTCGAATTATTTTTGGGGGGGCTAATTTGGTTTTTGGGGGGGCTTAGCCCCCCCAAGCCCCCCCTTAACTTCGCCCATGGTCACATCTCTCTAATTTTAGAAAATAGGCATTACGGGATAATATATATTATAGGAAACCTAGAGGAAAGTGGAGTTTTGTTATTTGGTTTTTTGGGGAATTTGAATATTGCCAACAAAAAATTTCGTACAAAATGTGGATCAGTTTCTTAAAAAAAAACTATAAAACTGAAGTTGCCACTGATGTATTAAATGAAATATGTTTGATATATTTCTAACACTTGTCTCTGTTGCTCTTATTTATAGAATTCTATACCTTAGGAAAATTACAAGTTTCCTTTTTAGGTTAGGCCGGATTACGACTTCATAGTAATCGGAGGCGGCTCTGCCGGTGCGGTGGTGGCTTCCAGGTTATCAGAAATCTCCAATTGGACCGTATTGTTGATAGAAGCAGGAGGAGATGAAAACGAGATATCGGACATACCCTCTCTTAGCGGGTATCTTCAAATGTCGCAGATGGATTGGATGTATCAAACTTCGCCGCCAGGTGATTCTCCGTATTGTTTGGCGATGATTGGGGATAGATGCAATTGGCCAAGGGGTAAAGTATGTATATGTATGTTTTTATAATGATAGATTTATTTATTTTAAGTGCTATCTTGTCGTTATGCTTATAAATACAGGTTAGCAAAAAAAGTATACAAGCCATACGGTGTAGTTTCGCCCATTTCTATTAGTTGTAGAGCGCAATATGCTAATATTCGTAACACGTCGAAGAGGATCGTAATGGAATCGTTTAAAACGTACAATCATTCAGCTCATGTACTGCTCGGCATAGGTAAGCCAATTGGTTTGAAAATACTGAAGATGTTCATACAATTTCATTTTTATAATGCAGCTTCTGGTTTACACTAACAAGGACACCAAACCAACTTAGAGATATGAGAATGTCCCTCTGTAACATGTTTGGCGAAAGACTGGAATATTTGAACAGAGAATAACTTTCTTTTTATTAATTAGAATTGGCTTTAATTTTTTTAATTTTACTATTGTTTTTAGTATTTTTTATGAATACTTATTTTATTTTCAATATTAATAAATTGTGCATGAAATACAAGTTTTCTTTGCGATCTAAGCTGGGTGCTCAGATCCGTCTTTTGGTTCTTTTTAAAAATTTCTACAAAACAGTTAATTGAAGAATTATAAATTGTCACTTGCAAATAATTCTTAGTTCCAAATCTACGTAAATATTGGATGGAAATAATATAGAAAACCAATATAAATATAACATTTTAGCAGAAATTAAAACCTACTGTGCATAAAAACGCGACTTTACGCCTGACATCTCAAAATAGTGTGTCTAGAAGCATGCGCAGTATGCATGACTTGTCCCTGTGGTGTTGCCAAGTATATTAAACATACCTAACACAAAATAATTTTAAATTAATTAATTTTTAAATTATATGATTTCAACAGTTTATATCTACAAAATATCGCCACAAAATAAGTTATACACATTTAAATAATGAACTAATAATATTTATGTATAATTACATTTCCAAAAATATTTAAAAATACGGTAGTAATGTTCACCAAGCGATTCACCTACAAATGACCTGGCAATATCACTTAAATCCGGTGTTTTAAGGCTATATGACGCTGTCCTTTCAGGACCGTTTGTGATATTTTGGCTTGAATTTGTGGTTTATTATTTAATTACACGGTGAAAGTGGCATTTTATTTTTAGTTTTGTGCAGTGTTAAGTTAAATCCTAAGTACAATAAAAGACATGTTTACATTGGCTAATGAAAATCTAATCAATATATTTAGCAAATGTTATATTTATTACTAGATTTATGTCTGGAAATCTAAAACTACCTACAAATTATAATTATGTAAATAAAGAACTGCATATATAAGGATATTTTAGGAAATTTTGGGAAATTCGGCGCTACAAAAGTTATTAACAGATGTTCAAAAAGATTTGTTAATTTGATTAAAATGGCTAAACTTACAACTCATTGAGGTAGTCATTCGATTAAAAATAAAAATATTGGACATCACAGTGCACAAAAACTAAAACTATTTTAAAAACACAGACAATTGATACATTATTTTAGTTACGAGCAACATCGATGTTGACTAGATAAGTGTATAACCAACAAGTGGGTTATGAAACGCGCGAAAAATGAAGTATTAAGTCATATGTCAGTCATCAATCAAACCTGTCACCAGCAAAAAAGAACACTATGTGGCCTATGTCACCTTAGCACAAGGGGTAAAACCATCAGCCCCTTTGTGCTAAGCTTGTGACAGGCTCCTGGCTCACCTACAGTGAATCAGCGAATCTGTGTGGCGCTATGAAGGTGATTCCCGAATAGGGGTTGCTCAGGCGCCAGTTTTGCTATCGCAGTTTGCTCTGCGACCCTGAAGTACACCAGAGTGTACTCAAAGTAAATTCAGTGGAGGTAAAAAAATAATTCCAGGCGGTCACTGCCAGGTAGCCACCATACTAGAATAAATAAAAAAATAAAACACTTATCTCCTTTACACCTGAACGGTGCCCTGAAAGAGAACGGTTAAGAACCATTAATAAGAGAAACACAGGAATATGTACTAAAATATATATATTTACAAAAAAAATAAATACAACGGTAATTATATATGAACGGCTCCCTGCATTCGGAAAATCTATTCTTTAAAAATGAATTATTAAAGTTGAAAATTATTTAAATATTGACGGATCCATGTATTCGGAAAATTTGTTAAAAATAAATTATTAAAGTTGAAAATTATTTAAACATATAGAAATATTTATGGTTTATTAGCACAGGAGGCTAATTGGACTGGGAATTGTGAAACGCCCAGTATACGGAAAATGTATTAAAATAAATTAATACACTTGAAACAATTTAAATATGACGGTAATCAAATGCAAACAAATAAATGAACTCAAAATTGTCGAAGCTCCCTTGTATCTTAATAACCAAGCGATATGAAACGAAAATTCTCGCTTACTGATAAATATGGTTTTTTTACGCGTTGTTTTGAACGGCGACCACGATGGACATAGAAAATAATATTTTTGAATTTTACCCAGAGTCTATCGAGAGCGTATGTGTGAATTTAATTTTACAGAGAAGTCGTCTGGCTTTATTCAATAACTAATTGTGGACGGGGAATGATTTAAATACGGCTGAATAAAAAATTAAAAGAAAAGAAATTTTACACGAAGTTAGGCGCGGAAATTAATTTAAACGTCTTTTTGGGAAATTAGACAACGTCATCAGGAGAGAGAGCTCTCTAACCCAGGAAACGGATCGAACCTCCCAAAAAATAAAACAATAAAATATTAAAAAATCGAAAACAGGTCGAATCTCTCACTTCGATGTTAACTGGGCGAATTTTAAAAGAAATTGGATATAGTCGCTGACAAAGAGAGCACTCGGTCTCTAGTCTAGGTCCAACCTCAAATAAAAAATTTCCCACTGAGGGATGAAATAATATATCCTGGATGTGAATCAAAATTCTTCACTTGTCACACGGGTGTCCCAACTAATTATATAAAAGCCAATATAAAAAAATAATAATATACGGTTCCTACCTTAGCAGATAAACGGGGTTTATCGATGAACTAAATCACGGCATTAGGTACTAACTAAGGGTGAATAGTTTTCGGCTGTCGGCAATCAAGAGAGAAGAGCTTACGGCGGCTAACAAGCGAGCAGAGGGCGTAATTCCCAGATGGGATTTATTTTATGCTTTTTCGTTAAAGCAAGATGGAAGACCAGTAGGCCCGAGTAGGGATATCACCACTACAGCTGACTGTTTACAATTTAGAAATATAAAAAATGTCCTTCTAGTATCTTGACAATTAAAAGTAGATAATCCACACGAAATCGACTCTAAAAATGCCCATTCGGATTTCGGCAAATATAAGAATATTTTAATCTACGAGGGTACTCGCAATTGTTGAAAAACTGCAATTCCTGGGAAACAGAAATACGGGGGAACTTGTACATGTTCTCAGGCGGGAATTAATTGAAATATACATTTTTAAATTAATTGAGATCAAAATTTAGTGACTTCGTCACAAGCTTTTGGTTGTAGGATTATTGTAAGAATTATCAATAATGTGTAAACAGGTAATGAATCTAAATGGAATATATAACAATAACAATAGTTATGTTATAAAGAAAATACTATATTTTCCTAAAAATTTTTTATGTAAAAATTTACTTAATTACCTTTAACCCTTTGTAATAAAATTCTATCATTTTCTCATTCGTATGAACATTCATATTTTAATATTTTTTATCAAAAAATAAAAATGGTAGTTCTCAATGGTTCTATAGGTTAACTAAGGATATGTTTAAGAACGTACAAACATACTGCGCAAGTCAAGTAAAAATTACCTTACTTAACAAGGTGGGTAAAATTTTATTATCTCGTTTTCCTTATGGCTCAGGTAATTCGTCCTGATAAAACGTTACACATTGAGGAACACTTTTTAGCGTCTAGACAACGTCCAGTCGCGTTTATCCTACATTTCTGAACGCACCCCAGAAGTTGAATATTTATCCTTGTTCGCTGCTACGTTTTCAGATCTATTGTGACAGGTTATTAAAAGTGTGTCATCTAGCCTGGTTATATTATAAGACTTAGTGCTTTGATAGTGGTTCTTTGACTTTGTCTAGTGTTAGAAACCTTAATTTAGCCAAGCACTCTTACTTTTACAAGACCTGCATTGATTTTTTTCTTTTTCTTCTTGCACACAATTGTGCACATCAAACAGATCTCAAGTATTGTAAAATATTTTATTTCAAATACTAGTTTTTCATATTTATCAGCAAAAATTAACACATATGAGGCAGCACTTCAACGTTAACAAATGGCAGTAACAAATTAACAAAATGAAAACAGAAAATATTTTAAGGAAAAAGCCGTAAAACAATTTTTATCTTTGGATAAACATAAATGAATATTCTACTTTTGGTATTTTATTCATCATTTTAATGTGAAATTGAGAAATACTTGATCTATATCATCAAGTTGAAACTACTAGTGAACAAGTTTCCTCATGATGTCTCTGAATTATAAGTTGACATGGCGAAGTTGAAATTAAAGTAGACGGACGTCCTTTGTGTATTTCCCTGAGCTCGGTCCTTGCTCATCATCTATATTAATAGACATATACAATCAAAACACAAGTTTTTAAAACAAATCAATGAGCTTGTACACTAAGTTCAATAGCGGACCAAATCTTCTAAAGTTTGCAAAACAGTTAGTAGTGCAGTATCACATACATCATATAAATCTACCACAGTCAATTAGACCTATACAAACATTACTCTAGTAACAAATAAAAATGTAGATAATCTTGACATGCCTGGAAAACTACCACCTGCCAAACTTTCCAGAAATTGGCGCCCAATAATGTCACTTTCTCTATTATAGATAGCGAAGTCAAGCAGTTTAAAAATCTTCTATGTGTATATGTGTACTACTATACACAATCGGTCCAGATTAAAAAATTACTCATCTTAGACTAAGTTAGTACGTTATAATTTAATATGTCCTGAGAAAGTTAAGCAGTCTTTCAAAAGTCGTGATTCGCTTTCTGCTGAGATAATTGCTTTTCGAACTGCTTGGATATTACAGTAGATGGCAGTAGTGCTGCCTGATACTTGTTGATTTATTAGTTCTCTTGTACTGTGCTGTATGGATATTAGTTCAATCTGGAACACTGTTGCATAGTCTCCTATATCAAAAAGGCATTCTTACCTTCAATTATTTTAACAGTATTTCCGTACATTTTTCTTTCACTTCAATATTTATTAACATTGTTATTTCTTCACCTATTGTTTTTATTGTTCTACAGTTCTTCCTCATTATATTCTTACTACTAATTATGTGAACACTGGTGTTATGGGTCCCTTATACATGTTGGTGTCATTTTTTTACATACATATTTCTGTTGGTGTCTGTAATCTAGTAATCTCTGTTTAATTTATGTTGTTCAATCTCCTTTGAATATGACCACGAGGATCGTACAATTTGTCATTACTTTAAATTCGTTCTATACTATTTTAGTTTGATTCTGTTTATGGAACCAATTACTATTTTTTATTTTAATTGCTGAACTTTTAGTCATCTCATTTTAGCTTCTCATTTCATTGATATAAATGTATGTATTTCAGTTTAGTTATCATTCTTTGCTATTACAGCAATATCACTATCATAATATAACAATAATATTTATGATGGCTTAGTTAAGATAATTCCATTTTTTTTTCAGTTGCTCTTATTGCACCTTTAAAAGTATTTTTAGGGCATAAATACTTTTAAAAATTATAATTTTTGTTTATTTCTTATTCTTTACTACTGTGGTTTACCATGATTTTATAGCACAATTTGATCTTCTCGTCTTTGACATCGTCTTTTCTATTGACTAAATAACTATGTAACTCTCAGGTTTTGGGTGGATCAAGTGTTCTCAACGCGATGATTTACATCAGAGGAAATCGACGAGACTACGACTATTGGGAACAACAGGGTAATCCAGGATGGTCTTACGACGACGTGCTGCCATATTTCCTTAAATCGGAGGATAATAGAAATCCGTACTTGGTCAAAACGCCATACCACCAGGAAGGTGGATATTTGACGGTGCAGGAAGCTCCTTGGAGAACTCCACTATCTATAGCCTTCCTTCAGGCTGGAAGGGAGCTGGGATACCAAATACGGGACTGCAACGGCGAGATACAAACCGGGTTCATGCTTTCGCAAGGTACAGTTAATTTTATTCCATGATTGTGCTTAGGAAAAATGTTTAAATATTTCTAAATTTTAGGTACAATACGAAGAGGTTCTAGATGTTCAACTGCTAAGGCATTCCTCAGGCCAGTACGCAGAAGAGAAAATCTACACATCGCCATGTATTCTCAAGTAACGAAAATCAAAATAAATCGGAAAACGAAAGAAGCTTACGGCGTGAGGATGGTCCGTAATGGTAGACCTCAAACGGTCAGGGCGAGAAGAGAAGTCATAGTAAGCGCAGGTGCGATTGGCGGCCCCCAACTCCTAATGCTTTCTGGTGTAGGTAAGGATTGTATCAAAATGGCTTTTACAAACAAAAAGCATTATTATCTATCAAAAAAAAAATTATTTTCCAAAAAAGTTGAGATATCTATACATATATGTACTATTTCTGTACTATTTCTGCACTATTTCTGTTTTTAATGAATAATTATTCATACTAATGATTTTTGTTTTTCTAAATACGAATAGGGTTCTAACTTTTTCTGATATTGAGCCTGATATTCACGAATATTCCTACCATTTAAATATTTTTTTATTTCTTCAATTAGTTCATTATTCTATCGAACTTATTGTCTGCTGTTTTTATTAGTTTTAATATCGTCTTAGCATTTCTATTTCTTCTTAACATGATTTTTATAAAATAAGTATTTCATGATGTAGGGCCGAAAGATCACTTGGAATCTTTTGGAATACCAGTATTAAGCGATTTGAAAGTTGGACATAACCTTCAGGACCATGTAGGATTGGGTGGATTAACTTTCGTGATAGACGATCCCATTAGTTTCACCAAGAAACGTTACCAAACATTACAAGTGGCTATGGAATACATCATTAACGAGAAGGGACCGATGTCTTCACTTGGAGGAGTGGAGGGTGAGTTACTAGAAAATATAGTGTCTTAATTTTCAACAGATATCATTCATAGTATCATTTTAAAAGCAAACATGTTTACATATGACAGGAACAGAAAATTAATTAGTATTATGTAAGGGAAGAACGCTGTTGTATTAAAACCAATGATATTTCTTTGTAGTTGCATAATAACTTTGATTACGATTGAAATTTCATCTAGGTTTGGCCTTCGTCAACACGAAATACGCCCCAAAATCCGGTCTATGGCCCGACGTCCAATTCCACTTCGCGCCCAGCAGCATTAATTCCGATCCAGAACAAATAAGAAAAATCAGCGGTATGAGGGACAGCGTCTATAATACGGTCTATAAACCCTTAAAAGATGCAGACACCTGGACGATTTTGCCTCTACTGCTCAGACCGAGAAGCACCGGATGGGTGAAATTGAAATCTAAGGATCCGATGGTTTATCCTGATATCAATCCCAATTATTTCACGCATAAGGAGGATATACAGACGTTGACTGAGGGAATAAGGATAGCGCTGAATGTGTCTGCTACCAAAGCTTTCCAAAGGTTTAATTCCAGGCCGCATGAATTACCTTTTCCAGGTAAGTTTGGAATGCAATAATTGAATGTGATCATCTTGGTTTTACCACACTTTTCCTTATTTATACAAAAATAAAGTCAATGGTAAATAATTTTTGATATTATGTAATATACAAGGAAAGAACAGTAAGGTCGCAGAATTGATTTAATAATACTTATATGATCAAATCAATATCTAGAAAATGGAGTCAAAAAAGTATACACAATGCCGCCAAACCGAGCGGTGCACCTGGGGTCTCTCCCCAAGGGTCAGAGTCGTCGCACGATCATCATAAAACCTATGCTAACATACGGTGCGTTGTCTGGGTATCGAAAACCCAACAGTTAACGGATGTCTGAAGTTAGCAGCTCAAATCTCAGCATCTTATATTTTAAGCAGAGTTATTATGGCATTCGATATAGTTCTATAGTTCCTGATACTTTATCAATAGTTCTGTCGAATTTACTATCGAAATGGACAATTTAAAACATGAGATGCTAACGGCCGAAAGTTAGCATTCCTATATAATAAAATAAAATAAGCAGACGGTAAATTGATAGTTTACGAATAGTTCTAGAGTTTTTATTCGTTTGTATAGCTTAACTATTTCATTTATAGCTCTGGCCCTCTTAAAATAATTATAAATAAATATTATACAAATAAATACTAGACGATAGTAAAATATTGTCATATTATGATAACTTCTAGAAAACATATTACTCATAAATTACAATGCTTTTAAATGATGACTTGACTCCCTCTGCATTGAGTCCCGAAGAGTTCTAACACTTTTTCAATAATTGTATGTTTTAAAAACAAAGAGAAATTATAGACTATAGTGAAATGCAGTCATCTTATGTCGAGTTCTAGAATATATAAAGGTTTTAAATGATAACTTGACTCTCTCTGCATTGAGACACGAAAAGTTCTAGCCTCTAGCACGTTTCCAATAATTGTAAAATACCAAAGAGAAATTATAGACTATAGTGAGATGCTGTCATATTATTTCGAGTTCTAAAATATTTAATGCTTGTAAATGATAACTTATACAACGAAAGAGTACTGTGATGTTTGTTTACTTTAAAACAACAGTTTATTTATTAATAATTTATTTAAAACACTTATTTATTTTATAACACAACTATTCTAATTTATATATACTTCGAATGTCTTTAAACTGATCACTATTTATATTCACCACTGTCTATCTACTAATTACTATTTATCTTCACTGTCCATATAACAACTAACTCTGATGGCTCATCCACCAATATTTATATACAAATTGGTGGTCTAGAATGTTCCTCCACCAAAATTAACAGAATTTACCAGAACGTTATCAGGTTATATTTAGACTAGAAATAGTATCTCGTTGACTCTGGAATGTTCGCGAAAGTGTCTCCACCATAGTCGTCACATAGGGTTGGTCTTAAGGGGTTTAATTATGTATAATAATCGGACAAGTTGAGCCTCAAAGGCCAAATAATACAGAGAGGGACTTGGAGTATTAGAGCATGACTGAATAATGAAATGGCTCACATTACAGTACCTAATATTACGAATTAAAAACTTACCCATTAATTTTAATTTTATATAATTGGAATTGGTAATGAGTTTAGTGCAACCGGAAAACAGTCACAGGACGCATTGATCAAAAGGCACAAGAAATCCAGTATTAGAATAAAATCCTCAGAATTATCGTCAGTACTATTAAATTCATTGCTGAACGGCTGAACGCGGATTAGCGTTCCGATGTGATGATGAAATTATTAGTTCACCGAGAAATGGAAATTACCTCGGTATTCTGGAATTGCTAGCCGAATATGAACCAATTCTCTCAAACCATTTGAAAGAGCATGCAAATAAAGAGAGTGGTCATGCCAATTACCTTTTGTCTATGATTTGTGAAGAACTGATCAGTTCCATGGGTGATAAAGTTCTCGATGAAATAATATCAAGAATTAAAAAATCTAAGTATTATTCGGTATCTGTGGACTCCACGCCAGACGAATCTCATAACGATCTAACGATCAAATGACTATAATTTTTCGATATATTGAAGGATCGATGCCAAAAGAAAGATTTCTGACCCTTTCACCAAACTGTGGGCAAACTGGCGCTTTACTAAATTTTTTAGTCGACCATCAAATTGACATTCTGGATTGTCGCGGCCAATTATACGATAATGCTACAAATATGGGCGGCAAATACAAAGGCATGAAAGCTCTGATTTTGAAGAAAAATCCTTTATCAGTGTTTGTACCATCTTGTGGTCATTCTCTTAATTTAGTTGGAAAGGCTGCTGCTAATGCTTGCACACCGGCCGATCAATTCTTTGATTTCCTTCAGAATGTATAAACATTTTTCACACCAAGTACAGAAAGGTACCGAATTCTAACTGAAAAATTATCGGTAAAAACGTATTGTCGAGCAGATGCTACGAAAGCTATGGTCGACGGTTATTCTGAAATAAAAGAAACTCTTACTAGCATATCTTAGGATAAGGAACAAAAGACATCGTGAGAATTGAAACAGCACTTTTTTGGAGATGAGTTGTCTCAAAACCGCTTTATTTGCCATCTTTTGGAACGAAATTTTGGAGCGATTTAACGATACAAACAAATCTTGCAGGACCTGAAGATGATTTTTGAGTCTGCATTATTTGTTAAATCCAAAAGAGACGAGTTTGACAAATACGAAGAAGCTGCTAAAGGAATAACAAGTACTGACCAGTACGTACAATCTCGCACCAGAACTAGAAATGTGAGGTTGGATTCGCTCGAATATATGAAAGCACAAGATGATGTTAACTTGTCACCAAAAGATAAATTTAGTGTCAGACTTTATCCCAGTAATCGGTCATATATGTGTTTCTCTTACCGAAAGATTGCATGGTTACGATACTATACGTTCAAAATTTGCATTTCTTAATCACTTACAGGAGATGGATGCTGCAAATTTGTATGCAGCCAAATCTGTATGCTGTAGCAGATGAATTGGTAAAAGTTTACAAAGACGATTTAGTTACCTAATCTTGGTAATAATGAGTTGGTTCAATTTAGATATTTGATAAACTTATACAAAACAGACTATAAAAAAGATATATTTATGGAGCTGTTCTATTATCAAATTCTTGAAAATTATTATTTCAGAGCTATATTTCAAAACATAGAAATTACACTGCGAATGTACTTGGTTTTGATGGTGTCAAATTGCACTGGAGAGAGCTCATTTTCAAAAATGAAAATTATAAAAAATAGGATAAGAACAACGATGGGACAAAAGCACCTATCAAAGTTATCTCAACTCAGCATTGAAAGTGATTTACTGCATGAGCTGGATTTTAACGAAATCATCAATGATTTTTCGTTGAAAAAACCTTGCAAGATACAATTCTCACGAGAGACTTTAATTTAAAGATTTCTGATTGCCTGTTCTATCCTTTTGTGCCATCATACGACTAAATAAATAAATAAGTGAAACATATTATTTAACCTATTTGAAAAATAATTAGGGGCCTCCATTCTCTTGTTGGCCCAGGGCTTCCGCACCTCTAAATACGGCCCTGATTATAGACTATAGTAAGATGCTGTCATATTATGTCGAGTTCTAGAATATACAGGGTGTCTGTAAAAGGTCTTTACAAAAACATACCACATATTCCTTAGACCAAATAAGTCGATTTAAGTAAAATTACCTTAGTACAAAGTTGCTTCGTTTGGGCTCCAGATGGCCTTGAAGTTACAATTTTTAAATCGTTTTTCCCATATAAATTTAAAACGGCATATGCGATTTTGCTGAAATTTGGCATATTGGTATAGTTTTATGTGGCAAAAAAAATGGTATTAAAATTTTGTCCGATAATAATACATAGGCGTAGAACTTGATTTTTTAAATAAATGCACCTTTAAAAATTCTACGCCAATGAAAAAAAAGGAGTTTGAGTATGAAATTTAGATTGCGCAACTAATTTACTTTAAAAAAGGTACTCTTGATAAGACTCGATTACTCTCATGGTTTTCGCTAAATTTCTGTTTTAATAATTTAGAGTGTATAGCTTTCACAAAAATATTTATTTACAACATAATCAAAATAGAGATTTTACAAAAATTGTTCAAAATGTTTACCATTTTCACGCATACAAAGATTTATATGTCGAAGAAAATTAAAATGTATCCTTTCCATAACTTCTTCATCACCTCTAAGATTGTTTATTGCATCTTGAATACGTTGCCAGAGTTGTTCCTCATTTTCTACAGGTTCCCTGTAAACTGTGGATTTTAGATGTCCCCATAAAAAGTAATCCATCGGTGTTAGGTCTGGGGAAAGGGGTGGCCAGTTTACAGGTGCGTCATTACTTCTGCCTATCCATTTGTGTGGATATTGTTCATTCAAGTGGTTTCTAACGTTTAAAGAAAAATCTTGCATAAACCACATATCTCTCCGAAGTTGGAGAGGTAAATCTTCTAACAATTCTGGCAACGTATTTTGTAGAAAATCCAAATAATTTTCTCCAGTTATTCTTCGTGGAAGTATGACAGGACCAACAATGAAATTACCAATTATTCCTGCCCACACATTAATTTTGAATTCGTGCTGAAAATGATTAACCTTTATTGCATGCGGATTTTCAACGGCATAAACATGTTCATTATGGGTATTAGTTATACCTCTTCTTGTAAAACCCGCTTCATCGGTAAAGAGAACCTTCTTGAAAAAGTTTGGATCTCTTTCTCTTTGCATATTAACAAATCGACAAAAACCCAAACGAATTTGAGGATCATGGACTAATAATTCTTGTACTGGCTTCTTATGGTATGGATATAGCAATTGTTCTCTAAGCACTTTATGAACGACATCTTTACTTACTCCTAGTTCCCTTCCAATTCGTCTGGTGCTTAATTCTGGATCTTCTTCAACACGTTCTAAAATGTCTTCTTCAACTTCAGGAATCCTTACAAAACGTTCTCTTCCATTATCAACAGTGTTGGGAGCAAAGGAACCGGTCTCCCGAAGATGTCT